TCAGCTTCAAACTAAGGTGTTACATACAACCTGACTCCATGATACTGACCTTGCCCAATCAGGTATAGTGGGTATTATCGTTGATTTTATAGTTATGGAGATGAAGTCTGGACTTCTACCTCTATATTCACTCAAAATGCTCCCAGCATCCATAGGACAATACGACAGATTCAATCAATAGAGACATGCTCAATTGAATGTTCTTAATTCCCATTCTCAAAATACAATTGCCCATTCTTTGATGCCATGTTATTGTTTACTCGATGGGCATCAACCATGGCTGAATCGTCTCCCCGCTTGGGCTTAGGAGCTACCTTAGGTAGTCAGGGCCACTGAACCATGGCGCCTTTGGGTGTAATGCAATTTCAGCCCCTGAAACGAGCAACACAGTAGATCATCATCACCAACTCTTTATTATTTCGCTTCTGGGCTGTCTAACTTCATCATTTCCCCTTTCTTCTCATTTCTTCTGTGTCTGGGGTCTTTTCGTGTGCTTCCTCATTCCCCATGGTCTCTCCTTTCTGCTTTCTCTGACTCTTTCCACTTGTCCCACCCACGATCTTCATGTGGTTGTCCACTCTCGTTATATCAGATCCAATCAATCCACTTTCATACATCACATAGTGTTTGCTGCAGCTAGACCTGCTGCCCCATTCTGGGCTGCAGTTGATCCCTTGGACACCTGGACGTCGACCTGGTTGTCTGTCTGTCTGGCATCCTGCTTTGGGGATTGCTGAATCAATTATTGACTGCCTTATAACTGTTTCTCTTTTTTTTTTTCTTTGCCTTTTCCTGCCTGGTCCTGCTTGATCCCTTGGTGATTTCTTTCTCTCCTGTTTATTCTCCTGTAGTTTTTTTCTGCTCAATCCTGCCACTCTGAACCTTGCATTGTGGCACGGTGCATTGCGAAAATCACAGAAATTGGTCTGGCAATCCATTGATCTGTTTGCTATCGATATCCATCGGTTTGATCCTCATTTCGGGACGCGACTTCTCTACTCCGCCCCTGGGCACATTTTCCTGATTAGCCCAGCAACATACCTGCGGTTTGAGAATCCAGTGGAGACGATATCCGTGGAGGAAAGATGCCCTTTTTCACTCGCGTCTTTCGGAGTAAGGACTCCAATGCTGCAAAGAAATCGACCAAGAACCCCGTCGTCGAAAACACGGGTCCCGCAAAGCCCACATGGACCGACGCGTGGCAGCGAACGGAAGTCGCTCCTGAAGAAGTTCAGGATCTCCTGCGTGGATGCACTCAAGAATTGAAGGCTCGAGGTATGTTTGATTGTTTGCTTTCACGAATTTCCAATACCTGATTGCCAATCGCTGGCGTCCACTCCACTGTCAAATCTGAGACATGCACATTCTTCAGATCGCTGATCCTTGCTTCGTTTTGTCCCATCTGACAGCTCTCCAAACTCCGTTTCTACTATTGCCGTTCCGTCCGACCACCGAGTCCACCGATGCACGTTATTTCATCCGCAACTACTTCAATAAGTCTGTGGAGAAAGGCTCGCCTTGGAGTGGAGATGCATTGTCGCAAGAGCTACGACTAACGGACCCGACGGTGAGTCGTCCATAACAACAAATCGCACACGCGTCGGAACATAACATGGCTGACCGGTTGTCTCCTCGATGGACAATCTTAGGTCCTCTGCAGTGTCCTGAAATGGTGCTGGAGCAGACTCCCTGGAGGAGTTGTCACCTGGGAAGCGTATGAACTTTTCAAGGTTGGCGAACAAGGTATGGGCTTACACTACATAACGGCCGGCGGCAGGTTGCATAAGGCTGATCGAATCACAGATTCTCAACTCGCCCGCGACGCGTTCTCAACATTCATCCCAATCAGTGTCGACTCGGATGCTCGAACCAAGATTATTTTCGACTTTTTCGACCTGCTAGCTGCCGTTGCAGCACACGGAAAGTCCAACGGTCTCGGAGGTCGGAAGCTCTCGAGGTATGCTGGGTGGTGGGCTTTTGAGCATTCGGATACGGGCAATGGCTTTGAAGCTGCCTACAAAAACTGGACCGCGTATGTTTCTTTCAATCGAATCTATCTGAAACTAAATAGAAGTGACTAACCGTTTGTTTCAGCGCTGCGGATGCCACGAGCCATTTGTTCTTCGCCTATCTCCGCTCGATATCTCCCGACTCGCCCCGTGGTATAAGCGGTATCTCGACTCTGCCCATCGCTCTCCAATCCCTGGTCCAAGCAACCGAGTACCCACCTGAAACGCCAACCCTTCTGCAGGTCTCGACCACAAAAGTCGTCATGATCGTTGATACCGTCTCACCTACTCCGTTTGCCCTCTTGCGACGTGCGAAGAACTTCGAATACCGGGACAGCGATCGGCATCTGCAGGAATTCGCCAGCTTTGAAGACCCCGTCAAGGCCCTTACCGACGAGTGTTTGCGCGTCTTGAAATGCATCTCGTCAACGAATCAGTCCAGTACCTCCGACCCGACGACATCGGGGCAAGAAGCGTCCTGGTCGCGGTTTGAGGATCTGGGATTCGGCGCCGCCGACTTGGACAACGATGCGAATGCGACCTCGTTAGCAAGGACCGAGTTTGCGGGTGGTCTTCGGTCCGCTCCTCAGTCCGGCGCGGGGGATCTTGGCCGTCCTATGACTCCTTCTTGGGCAGATTTCATGTCGTCCGGCTTCAATGACGACAACGGTTTTAAGCCTCAAGTTGCTCCTTTGCTGCTTCCGCCTGACAAGGTCCTGCCTCCGATTGCAACGGTGAGAGGCCAGAGCTCTCAGTCACACAAGCGTACCCTGGACTCAGAGCTCCCCGTTGAACCCGCCGAGCTTGCCAGCGTCACCACGCTGGATCTGGACGACTCTTTCTGGTGGGTCTGGATCAGTAGTTTGGCGGTAGAGGAGCCTGCTTCGCGAAAGGCGGTCTTTGGTAGGTGCGCATTGATCGAAACGATCATTAGGGACACAAAGTGGTTAGTTCTTGAGGAGCAGGTCAAAGGCGCTGCGCCGGAGCCTGAACCAGGTGCGTACATTGTCGAGAAAAAGAGGTTTTTTAGCTTTGCATCTCGCAAGGGAAAGATCAGTCGGCGCAAGTCGTCGGCCAAGAAAGTGACTGCGGTTGAAGAGTCTTACAAGCGCGCCAACAATCCAGCTCCTCAGAGTAAGACCAGCATTGCACCTGATCAGCATGCTCGCATTCAGGCTGCTGCTGCGGCTTTACAGAAGAAGCATCGGGAGCAGGAGCAGGAGGCCGCCAACGGATCGAAGGCTAGCGTGCCGAACCACTCGCGGTACTCGAAGGCAAACTCCATTATGTCTTTGCAACCGGGAATCATGAGCGAGGCTTCGCAAGCGATGAAGTGGGCCAGCAATTATGACAAGAATACATATCGCGCCGCCTATCTCAAGGACAGCCGGGCCGGGACAGGTGCGCTGGCCGAAGAAAAGGAGGCCACAGTGAACGAGAAGATGCCAGAGCCGCCAGCTTCGCCCGCACTGAGCACGTCAACCCGCCAGGCGCCACCTCCAGTGCCCAAGGACAGCGCGCCAAGCTCTCCTGCACCAGTTGAGCGTCAGCAAAGAGGCAGTGTGGACGAAAATGCCACCAGCAGACAGGGCAGCACCAGTGCTGGTGCGGAATCTTTGCCCAAGCAGTCTATTGACTCGACGGATGATTCGAGAGCCAGACTGAAGAAGAAGGCCGGTAACACGGGCTTCAAGAGTATGTTCGGAACCAAGAAGAAGAACGATTTGGAGTCAAAACCGCCAATGAGACCCACTGGGGCTCAGCCGTCGGCTGTTGCCGCTGCTCGTGCGGCTTTGGAAGGCAAGGCCAAGGCATCCCATGAGACAGTTCGCCCCAATGGCGCCTCGACTTTGAGCTTGAGGAAGAAACCCGTTCCAGCTCCGGCGGCGGCGTCCCCCGCTGCTACTGCCGAGGTCGCAAGGCCCCCGGCGGACGTGAAGAAACCAGGCCCTGAGCCGCAGACCGTCACTGCCGACGAACAGCATGATGGCCCTCCCAAGACACGTCGTGATGCTGAATACGATGCACTTTCCCGCGTAGACACCAACGAGCGAACAGCGGCCGATCGTGAATTCTCTCGATTTGATCAGGGCCCCTTGGTGGAACAGCCAGCATTCGTTCCTGAGGATTCCCCTGTCTCTGAGACGTACTCTGACAAGCCCGCGCCTGCTGCCGCTGTTGACGAAACCCCCATCAGGATTGAAGATGCCGAACGGGCAACGAGCCCTACATCAGCCCCGGGCAATTCATCTTATGACCGCTGGGCACAGATTCGCAAAAATGCCGCGGAAAGGGCCGCTAAGCTTGAGCAGTCCGGTTCACACCGATTTAGCCAAGATGAAGGTAACACAAGCGAAGAGGAGAGTAAGTGGAGGCGATCCCCTTGAAATGGCGGTAATGATGCTGACTCTGACCCAGGCTTCGAGTCTCGTGCTGCTCGTATCAAGGCGAGAGTGGCCGAATTGACTGGGAATATGCAGGCCGCAAGCTAAACGACGTTCAATTTCGGCTTGACCTCTACATTTAAGATCATCTCCCTTTCATTAGTTCTTTGTTGCTTCACTTTTGCCTCATTGCCTGCAGGGTTCAGTGCCTGGCTGCCTTTGATCGGTAGACTTTATACGCCCTGATGTTTTCGATACTGCTTCCATGGCCAGGTCTCATCTTCTGACAGCGAAACGGACAACAAACTCACGCCGTGATGTCGCTTGTTTTCCCACCAGTTTGTACTCGACATTGTTGTAATATTCTGGTCGATTCCTCTATCTTCTTTCAATGACCAGATGTGATTCTATTTTTCTATCTCCTGTCGCTTCAACTCGTGATTTCACTTGATTCCCCTCTTGTTGTATGTTTTCTGCTTGTTCTTGTCCAATATACCTTGGCAGACTTTGTCAATCCAAACAATTCTGGTTTTCGTCTCTTTGACGCACCCCTTCTGACACTGAGCCCAATGTGTCTCTGAACTATGGTATACTCGGGTCAACGAGATCAATCGCACCCCAACACCCTCAGAATCTCCCTAGCCACCCCAGCCGCACTGGCCGGATTCTGCCCCGTAATCAGCGGCGACTGCAACCCGGCCGTCTTAGACACAACCACCTTCTCCGCCCCAGATCGGTCCGCCTTGACATATCCCCCCCCAGATACCCGCTCCAGCTCCGTGTCCAACTGAAACGGCACAACAGCCGCCATCCCCGCCGCATCCTCCTCCTCCTTCGAGAACCCCGTCACCCGCGCTCCAGCAAGCAAAGGTACCCCCGACGGCGCCGTCGCATTCAGCAGCGCCGCAGGCCCATGGCTCACCGCCGCAACGGGCTTCCCCGCCGCCGCGACAGTCTGTATCAGCGCAAGCGAGGCCGCGTCCGTTATGAGATCGAACATCGCTACACCAATTCACCATCACATCAACATCAACATCATGTAAAACTCAGGTGTAGACGGTAGACATAGACATACCCCCGCACCCACCCACATAGAACACCGCATCGAACTCGCCCGCACGGGCAACCATCTCCCTGATCTTGTACGTGTGCGTCCAGACCTCCCGGTGCTGGGTCAGAAAGGTCGTGCTCGTCGTGTCGGCTTCGTCTGAGGCGAGTTTCGTGGAGGCTGGGTCGAGGGGTGCTTCGCCGCCTTGCGGGGAGGCGATGGTGAGGTTGACTTTGTGTTCGAGGATTGAGTATGGGTGGGCGAGTTCGGACTGGGGAGTTGCACATTGTGAGTGGTGAAACGGTTGGGGAAGAGGAGGGGGGGGACGGACCAGGTGCCAGCCTGTTTTCTGGCGGGTGGCGGGGATGAAGCCCTGCGAGGTGAGGATTATGAGGACGTGGGGCATTTTACTTGTTCCTCTGTTCGGTTGGTGATATGGTTTGTTGGGGGAGGGTATGCTGTCTGTTCGGGAGAAGTATGCCCACTGACTGGCTTGATTGGACTATATCAGCATATCGTCATCTCTGGGGGTGGGTGGCCCTACGTCAGTCAGTTGCTACTGAGTCTGGAGGCAAGGCAGAATCTATGTTCATGATTATGTATTACCATTAGTTCACTATATACCGAGCATTGGCACTTATGACTGCCATCAGATATCATGCTACCATCACATCTTCAAGAAAGAATATATCCAGAATATACAGTCGGATGATCTGGGTATCAACGGGACATGAAACAAGAGTAATTAAACGAAGCAAGACAAGAAATGGAGCGGGAAACGAGACGTCGTTGATCGTACATCGTCAGGGGAATATGTTGAGACTGAACACTCACAGCCGTCAGCGAGCATATCGTAATCGTCGAGTAGCTTCAACGGCTACAAGCGCACATAACGCACCCACGAACAGGCAGATGGATATCGCATTGGGTCCCTCTTTATCTCGGCGTATCCATTGCGAGTCCTGCGCGGAGTCATCCCGTTTCGTACTGCCCGGTTCGAGGAGGCTGAAGACTATCCAACTGATGAATGTGCCGACAAATTGCGGTAGCGTAGTATACACATTCAACACTCCGAGGTAGATACCAGCCAGTTCGCCAGTGGAAGGAATATTTGCGTCGTCCTCGGAATCGCTGTCGCTATCCGTATCATGATGATTGAGTCGCAGGACATCCATCTCCGTGTCCGTATCATAATTGCCGGAACGGATAGTAGAAGAAGTAATCATGGTCACACCGGAAGAGCGCGCTGCTGCTGCAGGTCCCATCGCCAGCTTGTTGATTTCCACCCCCATGAATGCAAAAGGCGCCCAACTGCTGACAGCCCACGGAATACCACACACGGCCACGAGGAAGGTTGCAAATGAACGAGACCGGGCCAGAGGTGCAAATATCATGGTCGCAGCAAACATCACATGAGATATCAGCCATGTTGTCTGCAGGTCTGGTCGAATCGCAGTGATCTTCTTAAGAAGTGCAGCTATACCAGGTGGCGGGCGCGGCGTGAATCTGGACCGTTTGCTATCCGGAGGTTGCACACAGAACGGTAGAAGCACAGAGCTGATGAAAGTGATGGAGGAGAAAACGACCAGAGACAGACTGCCGACGCGTCCAATTTCGCCGAGAAAGTCGCTTGACTGTGGAGCGTCTTTAGGGACCTCGTATCGGAAGTATGTCTCACCAACCCACGTTGTACTATAGAAAAGGAAGGGGAACCAGCCTAAAGCAAGTCAGCAACAACTTCTAAATCTTCTTTAAGGATGCTGTACCAATCCAGGCCCAGAACTGAGCCCAGCAAATTGCCTGAATGCGAGGAGGAAGGTCCATTGTCGTCTTGAAAAGCTGAGAAATGACTTGAACCGCTCCCGCTTTTTCATCGGAATCCCTACATGATCAAAATCAGCACTGATATGGACAGACTGGTTCCGACTATCTTCACCTGGCAGTAATCAGAATCCTCTCATTCACCGAATAACAGGTGACGGAAACCGCTCCAATGAGCGAGAGTGCAGCAATGACTGTCATCTGTTTAAATTGCGTATCACCGATAGTGGCGCCGAAGATGCTAACCGTATCGATTGAACCAATGACATAGCCAATCAGCTGACCAATTGCCGACATTCTCGTTGCTGAAAGTCGTTAGCTGTTGGCCTCGTGGACAAAGGTAGGAACATACCCCATGCTGAACCGGCTTGCTGCAATGGAATGGGCAATGTGTCAACGATCAAGCTGCGACAACAAGCCTGGACTGAAGGATGTCAGTTTAATTGACATGGGTGCGTATCAACATGCTCACCGATATTGATCGCAAAGTCAACTGCGTAGATACTTAGGACGGCAAGGGCTATGGTGACATTTTTCGCCTGGTAAACGTGAGCGGCGGAGTCGAAACAGATGCCAAAACCTGGCCCAAATGGAAAAGACACACCTTTTCTGCGTCTTTCACGAATAAGCTGACAATTTCCGTCGTCCACCCCAGCACTAGCAAACACAATGCGACAATAAATGAGCCAACAACCATAAACGGCCTGCGCCTTCCCCATTTCGAGCGTGAACGATCCGCGATGACACCAATCAAAGGCTGGATGATCAACCCAGACAAGGGTCCAGCGATCCAGACAAGCGAAGTCCGTGACTTTGTAAGACCCAGTTGGAGCAGGTACGGCGTGCAATCTATTTCGAGAGCGGGACTGGTCAAATCGCAAGACGCGGTGACTCCGGTGGAAGGAAAGGCTTACAGGTCATTTCAATGCCCCATGTGAATCTACAACAGGAGAATAATCAGCAATCTGGTTGATGAGCGAGATCAAAGCTCATTGACAGTGGTGGACGAAAGTACATACTGCAACCCCAACAAGCTGAATGTCAACAATGCCATTCGCATCGACTCGGATTTTCCCTTGATGGAGGGAGAACCCACCCATCTTGCAGCCTGTGGCATCCTTGTGACGCCCGCATCCACCGGAAGAAATCCAACTGTATGCTCAATTTTCCATGCGCTGGAGTTATTTTCGTAGTCTCGTGCTCTTGGTCAAACCGAGTCGCAACAGCCTGGTCGAAAACAGCCGAAATAGCCAGTAAACAAACGATCCTCGTGCGTAGGTAGATTTCTAGGAGCGGAGCGTCACAAACGAGGACCGATTGTTAATCTGTGGTCGAATGTGTGGTATGCTCCTTGAACTGTTCGACTCGATAAATAATAATGACCGGAGTTGGAATTGTTGGATTGCACTAGCTTCGTAGGGGGTCCCCCGATGCCGACGCCGACGTAGTTGTACGAGTTGGTCAATGGAACACGAGAAGCTAATCTCTTCACGATTCACGTCAGAGCAGGGCAGGAGGGATTTGATGCAAAAAGAAAAAAGAAAAGAGAGAAAACAGGGGAAGTGGAACGAAGGCGGATGGAGATGAGGCCGAACGCCCAGAATGCCCAGTGTTCACTGCCTACAAAGTGCCAACCAACGCATGCGGGCCCCCGGGCCGTCCAGGCACTTTGGTTTAGGTCGTAATCGGCATCGGTTGGTTTCTAATTTCCTGCGACCCACCAGCCATGAGGTGGTTGTTATTAATAGGCAGAGAAAGAATGATGATGACTGTTTCTCTATCTAGAATTCAGCCCATCTGGAGTTAGTTTGACCATGACAGCTACCTGGGTGAGGTATGTGACTAGAAAGATCTACAACTTCCTCAAATATATGCACTGACCCTTATTCCGGCTAACACACCAATGTATGTTGAAGTATACTACAGCTTCTTTTGACTTGAGTTAAGGACGAGAAAGTATTCTTGACTCTAGCATAGAAATCAGAGGGAGTATAGCAGTAAATGAGGCAAGAGCAATGTACTACATCTCCATAAGGCAGCATTGAATTCTAACCAGCAAGGTGAATATGAAAGGCTCAGATGAGGAAGAAGCGGTCCTCGTAAGCCTTCACACTAAGCATCTGCGAATATATGTCAATGAAGTTTTACTGGAGCAGGTTGAAACTCATTCTGCTCTGCTTGAGGATGATGACCACTTAGTCAGTGCTTCTCTAAGTTGTCTCATCCCTCGTCCTGTTGGATTAAGAGGAAGGCGTGTTGAAAGATCCTTGCTTACATCAACCTTGTCTGATGTTTCTGTGTTATCGTCATGGCCTCAGTAAATATTTTGATGCTAGACTGACCCACGTGAATCTGGTTCATGATCATGTCAAGTGTGTCTGGTATGAAAACTGGCCCATGGGCCTGACTAAAGGGGCCAGTGCTCCATAACATGTCCGTATACCAATCGTCTGTTGACGGTTGGAGAATCTACTGATGCCAAGGGATTTGGCAGCAACTCTTTGACATCTTGTAGCAAGAGCATTATGACTGAATTCCTCTGGCATTCATCAGGCTAGACATAATATCCTCGCAGTCAGGCGATACAGCTCACATGCTACATACCCACATCCTCTAGGCGGTCGTCCTGGTCTCATCATGTTCATAAGCTTCTTCATTTCTAGTAACATATAAAAGCATATCCGGCTGATCAAGCATTAAAGGAAAACCTGCCATAACGACCCAGACATCATAAAATGAACAAAAATCCGTACATTAATGCTTTTCTTATTTCATAGTCATGCAATATCCCATCCATCTACAACCGGTTGGGGGTAGTGCTGGTCATGGGCCACTGGTAACCAGCAGCATCACTGAATTTGTAGCCGAACGAAGCAGTGAAGTCATCAAGAACAGCGGGTCCTCGGGAGCCTTTTTACAGGATTAGTATGATATCAACCAGAAGAATATATGACTGCACATACCGTAGGGATATTCCATGGGAATGATCTCCTTGTTGTCGTCCAGGTAGTGCAGGAGAGGGGTGAAAATCTTCCAGCTTGCGTCGAGTTCATCGTCACGCACAAAGTTGGAGTGGTCACCCTTCAGAGCATCCAGGATGAGCGATTCGTAGGCTTCGGGAATCTTCAGGTCAGAGAAACGGCGGCGATAGGTGAGATCCAGCTCAGTCATGACGGTCTGCATGGACAAGCCAGGCAGCTTGGAGTTCATCTTGATGTACACCGACTCGTTGGGCTGCACTCGGATAACCAACTCGTTACGAGGGATATCCTTGAAGATACCAGATGTGACATCGCGGAATTGGATACGGATTTCGGTCTTCTGCTCATTCAGGGCTGTGTGAAATGTGAGTATGCGCGAGAATCTAGTGGTCTGAAAAGCAGAGCATGCTTACCCTTTCCAGCCTTCATGATGAAGGGAACACCATCCCACCTCTCGTTCTTGATGTATGCAACCATGGCGCAGAATGTCGGGCACCGGGAATCCTTAGGGACAGTGTCGTCCTCCTTGTATGCGGGCTTGCTTCCATCCAGAGACTTTCCATACTGGCCGATGATGACGTTCTTGGGTTCGATAGGATCCATGGCACGCAAGACACGAACCTGGGCTGAATTAGTTTCGGCCGTCGCTTCTGGTCAAACAGCTGAGTGGCCTACCTTCTCGTCACGGATATCTTCAGAGGAGAAGGAGATGGGACGCTCCATGGCGAGCAATGTCAGGACCTGCAGCAAGTCTGAAGAGACGAAGATCAGCATCGCTCAATCACGCACTGCAGGCGGCAAAAACATACGGTTTTGCATGACATCACGGATAATACCGAATTCATCGAAGTAACCACCACGACCCTCAGTACCGAAAGGCTCCTTGAATGTGATCTGCGGCAGGAGTGAACCTGTCAGCAAGTTGCTCTCAATTTGGAATATTCTAAGCATCCCATACCTGTACATTGTCGATGTGGTGGCGGTTCCAAGTAGCGTTGAAGAATTCGTTGCCGAAGCGCATGATAAGGATGTTCTTGACCATCTCCTTACCCAGATAGTGGTCAATTCGGAAGATCTCTTCTTCCTTCCAGTTGGGGTCAAGGGCTTTCTGGAGGTCGCGCGAGCTCTGAAGATCTTTACCGAAGGGCTTCTCAACCTGTATGGGAGGAAAGCATGCGCATTAGTTGTTGCTCTCCTCTTCGGGTTGTGGTGGGAAACTCACGATGATGCGAGCAATGCCGTTCTTAGGATAGCAGTTTCTTTTCAGTTGCTCTGACACAGTGGTGAAGACGCTGGGAGGCAGCGCCATGTAGAAGACTCTGTTCTGCTCCTTGTGGCCCTTCTCAACCTCCTCGAGGTGGTTTCTCAGGTTAATGAAAGAATCGTCCTGGTCATATTGACCGGAGACGTAGGTGCAAAGATTGCAGAAGCTGTCCAGCTGCTCCTCAATTTCTTTGGTGGGAACCTTGATGTATGACCGCACACGCTTCAGGAATTCTTCGTGGTCCATCTTTGTCCGAGCATATCCGACGATCTTGATATCCTTGGGAAGGAACTTGTTACGGAACTGTGCATACGGTCAATTTAGGTGAGTTAAGCCCTTCGTCCATAGAGGTGACACATACGAGGCCGAAAAGAGCAGGGAACTATTGAGACGTTAGCTTAAAACAGCTGTCTAAAGAGAAATCTCCGGTCCAGGAACAACGAACAGTCTTCTTCTTAGCAAGATCTCCCGAGGCACCTAGTACTACGATGACGGTGTCATCTTTAAGTTCGAGTGTGCTGAGCGCATAATCCATGTTAGCAACCGATTGTACTCGAATTGTTCGAAGCGAGAAATATGTATATAGGTCGATCAAGGTTCGGTGTGTGATTTGGTTGGGCGCTGGGATGAAAGAGAAAAAAGAGGGAAAAAATGGATGTGGAGCAAAAAAAAGGCAGTAATGGACAAATAGTCAACTCTGCAAGTTGCAGCAGGAACGAAACCGAATTGAATTGAGCCAGAAGTCAAGGGATGTAAGATGCTGGTCAAAGTAGCTGACAGTTTGCACATCGGTGACCAGTACGGAGTAGTAGCAGTGGTAGTAGTAGTGGTGGTCTTGGTCTGAAGTAACGGGATCGTTTCCGCCGTTGGAGGGGGAGGGGTGTGATGTCAGAGAGGCAGAACTATGGAAAAGACCTACCCAGCATTCTGGTGTTCCTCAGTACGGGCTATTGTGCTGGCCATCTTCGCACGAAATGTTCAAAATTGATACTCGATCTTTAGGACAGAGGCGATTTTAGGAGTGAGAGAACGGAAGAATGATTATAAGAGAAAAGAAGAGAGTGTGTGAAGAGGGATTGTTGGAAAATCCCCAACAGTTCCGGCGGAGCAGGTACTTTTTAATTAACACGGAGGACTCTCAAGCTGGCTGCTACAGTAATGCAAGGTGGGTGGTGGTGGGGCTGGCTTGGATTCTTCCGCTACGTCGATGCTGCCGCGCGACCCCGTGTGTATTATGGTAGGTAGTATTGGAATAGTCGAATGGGATTACAGGGAGGAGCATTGATATATGATTACTGATTATTATTAGACAGCCTAATTGTTATGCTACAAGGGCTATGAGAGGCCAGTCATGCTCTGGTGTAGGCATACGGGGCAGCATCGATGGATAGAGACAAATGTCATCGCTTTCACTATTACATCCTTCGTGGCAAACTTCGTCCCCCTTCTTATATCATCAGGGCTCGTGGATGTGATCCCCTTACGAACTCGATCATATAATCAATCTTCTAGTTTTATCCGAGCTAATTATTAAGACATCTCTATGGAACTTCCAACACAGTCAGCTCCACTGTGACCCAAGGGATGATTTTCATTTAAAGATACCGACTGATTTGATGCTGACTTGCTGACTTGCTGACCCCGCGTAGACCAACCTGGCCGTATCACAGTGTGTGCGCCTTGGATGAGGGGAAAGGAGAACTACTCTACAAGGCCAAACTTCTGACTCCTGCGTGATGTCCCTCGCGGGCCTTATAGTAGACAACCTATTTCGGTGCTGCATGCTTAGGTACCTAGTATATTATAGAGGCGGAGCTCCCCTCTTGATCACATAAGCTCAGGTTCATGATTATCAAATCTCAATTGAGGTTTGCGACAATGGATGCATATTCGTTGATTGTCCGTGTTCTTTACAAGAGGTACATCCTGGCAAGGATTATTTAGGATAGACCTAGCTTAAATTTCATTAGCGTAAACCTTGGAGGATCAAATACTTCGAGAAACATGACTTTCAATTCCTCCTTCCTACCTAAGATTATCATGCAGCCCATGATGCATACCAGTACTGTAGCGACTTCGGACTCCACTACCGGCTTGTCGCAGTCTCGCAGAGAGTGCGCCAGAGCCAGGTACAGTGGAAAGTGGAAGCTAGAGGCCCTAGTCTTGTACTTTACAGGCTACGGAGGAAAGCCAGAAGGAGCTCTCCCGGTGACCTAAACCGTGGAGATGGATCGGCGAATTTGTCATGGAACTGTTGGAAGAACTGATCACTGCGGATTCTATTTTCCCGTGAGAAAAGAAGTCTAGAAGAGGGAAGGAGTACGGATAATGCTCTGACTTTCTTGCTGAACCATAAGATGATGGAATAGCTTACGAGAGCTCGGAGTTAACTGGCGCAACTCCGTATCCTGGGGATATCAGACCTATCAATTCAGATCTTCCAAGCGCATCGGCATTGATTCACCCTAGGTGAACTGTGAAGAGACTTAAGAGAAAAAAAGTATAAGCTGACTTGCAGCTTCGATCGACGATTGCGTGCTCATCAACAGACCCGACAGTCCCTTCTTTTCAATGATTGCTGATAAACCAGCAAATGTCAGGTCTATTGCCGATTTCCTTGCTAGTGGGGCAGCGGACTCGCTTTATTTCCAAATATGTGCTCTCGGTCTGCTGGACCGTTCGGAGAGATATTCTCTGGTTAGTCGGGAGGACTCCAGGAGTATCAACAACTTACTACCTATATACATTATTATAGTCCCACAGTACAAGCTAATATATCATGATAATGGGAATAGTGATAAAAATGACCTAATTCTCTCTGAAAGACTTCGACCGGTCTTCCCGCGGAAATATCAATCGTGTCAATAAGGATACCTCGCTGACTGAGCTTATCGCCAGACAAGGAACTCGTCAATAACTTTCCAAGAGGGGGAAGCAAAATAATCATGGTTTGTCAGCGGTACGAAGTAGTTAGACGCTCTAGACAAATGCTCACATCCACCGGAGAAGCAGGGGAAAAGCAGAATCAGACTCAGAGACGCATCCGATGTCCAATGACCTGGGAAGCCGTCGAACCGTCTTCGGACCACTGTAGCCCGACGGCAAAATGTCGATAAATGGAAGCAGTGGGGTTGCCCTGGATCAAAAGTCTCATGCCTTAGCGGGGAGATCGTTATCATTTTACTATCAGCTTATCTCGGAGACCGGATGATCCAATCTTCCAGAAATAACCCCAAAATGGCTTAGGCTCATTTTCAGATTCTCCATCACGGGACTTCGCTTAACCCTGGGGCGGTCAGCTCGCTAAGGTCCCGTTTGGGGTTAGGGCGAGCCGCACCGAACGCACCTTGCAAATTGATCATTGTGCGGTCGGCTGCTCGTCTCAGACTATCGAAGCGACGACAATCACGACAACCCGGACGACTTTTTGCGGGTCATCTTTGCCTTCCTTCGACTTGTTTGCGTTGCCCGCTGTTGCTCAGATAAACCGTCATAATGCCTTCGGAACACGGTCACAGACGTGAGTGATCCTCCTCGATTGATTTTGATATCGACGTGTGCGCGGAAGTTGGAGAATGGGATTCGGGGATGGATGCGGTGCGATTGTGGAATTTATAAAGGATCATGCTAACGGGATATTTTTCTACTTGCACAGTCTATGTCAAGTAAGTTACCACGATCTTCTCATCGATTCTCCGTCGGGTTGCGATCATTCGGAATGTGATATACAAATGTCAAATGTCGCTCTGTGGGATCGGGCTAGGGGACCAAGTCGAAACGAAATCATCTGGACAGATGGGTTAATACGGATTCTTTTTGCAGGGGTCGTCACCTGAGCTACCAGCGCTCCAAGCGCGCGGTCAACCCCAACACCAGGTAGCTATTCACTGTGAAGATGGACGTCAAAGGGATATGGGAGGCTGACACCTCGTCTAGTCTGATCAAGATCGACGGTGTTGACAGCACTGAGGCCGCAAAGTGAGTATACACCGATCGGAAGGGGTCACGACAAAGGGAAGAGAACGTGCAGCTAAGACGGTTGTTTTATAGCTTCTACCTCGGCAAGAAGGTTGCTTTCGTTTACCGGGCAAAGCGTGAGGTTCGGGGTTCCAACATCCGGGTCATCTGGGGCAAGGTTACCCGGCCACACGGTATGTGATTTCAATGCGATGGATCGGGGATATTGGCATCGCAGCGCTGTCGAACGGTGGCTGCTAGGAGGAACAACAACTGACGATATCAACTTGACAGGCAACTCCGGCGTTGTCCGCGCTCAGTTCCGCCACAACCTCCCCCCCAAGTCCTTCGGTGCTACCGTCCGCATCATGCTCTACCCCTCCAACATCTAAATGACCCGTGTTTATTACCTGTTAGTTGGGCAATCCGGAAACATCGCACAGACAGTCGGGCAAGGAGTCGACGGTATGAGCCGATGTTGAGATGATGGAGTTGGCGGGTTGATAATGTTCGTGGGAGAGGCAGGGCCGACCAGCCCTACGAATTAAAATCAAAAGAACTTTTGTTGTTTTCTTCAGACTCTACCAGCGTGGTGACATTGTCGGCCTCCAGGCATCTAGAAGGGCTTGTCCTGTTATCTACATTGGCGAGCATGACGTGCCTTGTCTGACAACATGGCTTCTTTCCCAGTGTACCTGACACTCATAAACAACCAAATCCATACATTTCAACAAAGAGCGCGTTGCATTAGGATCGGGCGTATGGTAGCGAAATGACGGATGGGTTCACGGATAGTTGGATCAGGGGGTTTTATTCACTTGGCCATCTACACCCGGCAGCTCGACTTTGATGACCTCTTATAGTCTCCCAACACCCCACGCAGCATGATCCTTGAGAGTCGAAACCAGTCTTCTAGAACCCTTCTGCGACACAACTCTATCTGCCAGTGTCATTTTAGTAACCCCCTTGGGTAGTTATGCTCGGGCTTCTCAGAAATTGCGACTGCTTTATGCCCAATAGTTACAGCTAATGATTCACCGGTGGTGATTTCCTAACAGTAACCATATAGAACAGATCAACCACGTCCCGTAGCTGGAGCAAGCAGTCTATGGCAGGTGTATAAGGCATGAGTAGTCTTGGCTTGTCTCACACCTGCAAGATCATAGGTGTATAGAAACCTGATACCATACCCCGATTGAAACCTTGACAGTCACAGTTTCGTTGACATGCCCGCGAGACATGGTCGAACCTTGCATGGTGTTATCCCTACCGAGGCATCATGTCTACAGAGTTTCAATCCGTTCAGTATGAGAGGTAGATCATCGCACCGATGTTCGATTGCTAGCTATCGAGGTAAAGGCGAGGCAGGTAGGACCATTCTCGACGTGGTACACAACATGCAGGTCCGAGAATCAGGTACAAAGTACCAAAGCTTTGCTGCATTTAAGTCAAAGCGTATTTCAGGGGAACAGTCATTGCTCACTGGATTGTAAAATCAGGGCGCTGGCTTGGCAATGGAGTGTGATATATAAGATGCTACTATCAAAGTTGATATTCCTGCGATCTGTTGGACTCCAATTTATGGCTCGCAAACGATTTCGCAATGCGAATGGAGTACTCGAGTGAATTTCAAGCGTGGCTTGTCATCGACGAATTTGGTCGCGGATTGTTGGAGATGGATTAAGAATGGCAGCCTTGTCTCAGTGAGGGTTCTGTGTAGATCATCTGGAAAGTGGAAAGTACTTGTTCTTCCATATACTAGGTAGAACTGATCTTGAAGGAAATCGGGTTTACTTACAAACCAGTTCAGATGTAGGGAGTGATGTATATATATCTTGGGCAATCGGCTCTTGTCCACTGAAGACTATCAATCGGTTTTTGCATCTAGCCTTTACAAGAGTTATCTAGTTGAACGCAAACACGCTATCGGCTAAGCGAATATGATATCAGAACAAGGAGCCAAAAGAGTCGGGGTGAGCGGAGTCCTGAACCCCTTGCCTCGATTCCTCACGATCTTGAGATAACCGCCAGTCAATGATCATCTTAATGCTTGTTTGTACAGACTATAGACCATGGAGTGATAATTAAAGTAATGCGCCATCCCGCACCCCAGAGACCCACCAGATCATACCGAAGATCTTCACAACTCGTGCGTCGTGACTTGTGACAACTGACAAGCCTCGGATCCCCGTTCGAAGCATTCTTCAGGGCTTCTTTGCATATGATAGGGTTCTTGTTTGAGCAAGGGATGAGAGTGACTTTATTTTTGACTCAATGAATGAAAAGTTCAGGTTGTGATTAATGTCTGAGCCAGGACGCTGGTCAATGCTCACTTCACGCAACAGTAAACATGTCAGGACTGTGTATGGAGTACTTTGTAGATTGCGCAGTGTAGCAGAGGCTAACCCCGCCCTGATGTGACATCGAAGCAGATGTCAGGTTGTATGCTTCTAGTCTCCTAGCAGTCTCCATTGTGATAACCCAGATCAACCAGGAAAAGCGCAGACTAGTCTTGGGATCGAAGTCCGTGTTGATAGTTTGATAGTCATATATAGCCTTCTGATAGGTATGTGTCTTGCCTGTGGCACGGGAGAGGAACCAATGGGAGACACGCGGATGTAGATGGATTCAAAGATTCAGGATATTGTTTGTCTTTGGACCGGGATTGACTGGGCATTTCCGCAGCTAGATATGCCTAGGTTCTTAGCTAGGTACACTTCTGAGGTACAAATAATAATGTAACAATCGGCTGCTGTACTCTGAGCACAAAAGCTACCTTACAAAACATAACGAATCCTGTCCAAAGCTAATCCGTCTTAGAGTTAACCTAAAAATAAAAATAACTTGTCCACAAGGATTAGGTAATCATGATGTAGTCACTTATTCAAACACTTCACCATTCACAATCAGTGAGAATCTTCTTTCCTTTTAATAGGTTCGGTATTGATTAAAACAATTCTTTTGATCTTACGCAACACTCCCATGCTCTCTGTTTCGAAAACAAAAGCATTCTCACAAGCTCACGAGTCCACGAGTCCACGACTCTCGCCTTTGATCACATCCAAGGAACCGTTGACTCAAGAACAGGATGGACCCAGTTCCTGGGCTTCTCCCGGCCAACGAAACGATCCGCTGACAGTGGCTGGGGAGCCCTCGGGTAGCCGATTGGCTTCTTGCTCAAGGGCCGCCAGCCAGTGAGGGGAGCCTGTGGGACGCTCAGAGCCTTTTTTGTCTTGGACATTGGAGTAGCCGTATTTATTCATTTGGATTCTGATTGACTTAATTGACTTTTGGGACTAGCGGTATTTTTACCTTGACTGCATTTTCTTGCTTTTTATTGCTGGCTGCCTAGATCGAGGTTCTGCAATTCTATTATCGAGATGGAAATAGATGCATTGTCGGACCTGGGCAGAATGGCAGATTCAGGGTTCTATGAATTGCAGTTATAATTTCTGCGATATGTACATAACTTAGTCTACCAGAAAGTTAGCTGATACCAAGATCCTACTAGTATAGACATAACCAGAGCCTTCTAGGTAGTCAGTCGGGTGGCTTCAATATAACGCCATCATCCGACTCGTGGGAATCAGTCAAGTAGCACAACAGCACAGTAGCACTTGCTTTGGGGTTTTCTGGTTATGGTTCCCCTCTCTCCATAATATTGCGTGGCGTCTGCCGCCAACTTCGAATTACTACCACTATAACTGTGGTCTATCTGCCCGCCTCTTTATTGATTCTCAGCTAGCTGAATATTATTATTCTAGCACTTCTTTCCACTGACCTTCGTTTGAGAGCAACCTAATTTTTGTGACACTTTGCCGTCCAACTAAAGTCTAACAACTTCCATCACCATCACTGTCGATCTTTGAGGCGCGAATCCAATCATCTCCGGACAACGCTTGAACTATCTATTTTCTGCCGGTCCGGCTGTCTTTTGGTTGCTAGTTGCTACAGGGTTTGTTTCCTGCCTGCTTGCTCGATACATCTTCGCAAGTTCGTACGGTCTCTCTGCGCAAATTTACCAAGTTCCCTCTCTCGCTTCCCTTCTGCAGTGACGACTTTCGGAGTGCCTTTCTTTTGCTTTTTCCGACCTGCTGGCTACCTGAAGACAATACCAACAACCGTACGGAGTAAAAAGAAGATACCTGTCGAGCCAAATTCGATCGAAAGCAGCAACTTCACTTCCATTCTCTGCGGTCTTGTATAGTACCTGCATCTCCACAGCATAGACACTGCAATCTGCGGAGGCGTTTCAAAGCTCAAGCTGCCACTTCCACTCGTTCGACTCCATCAACCGTTCGCTGCATTCAAGACTCCTCTCTGGTTATCGAGCGTTTGATAGAGCCAATCCAAAGCAACACAGCGCATCGTGTTCTATCATACAATCCTTGGCAGTGCCCACCTGTTGCGCTCCACTACGGCCGCCAACCTGCCATAGTTGATAGTTCAGGCAGATCGCGACGGAGCTACTACTATCGTCAGTGGAGCTGTTCACAAACTTGTTTATCGGCCGCTAAAGTGACTTAGTTGAAGCAGAAAAAACGGGTTTGACATTAAATAAAGATGGCCTCCTCCCAGCCGGTCGCGTCGCCCAGGCCCAGTCGTGGTTTCAGTTTCGGTGGCAGGTCTGATAAATCTCGCCGTTCCAGCAACGCTGCCAGCAATAAAATCTCTTTCAGGGAATCTTCTGAGGAGAAGCACAGGCGCAGTTTACACACCAAAGCCGATCCGACGCTTGCTATAAACGAAGCGCAACCAAGTATGTTGGTCCCATATCTAACTCTCTTTCGGTCGCTGCATGTTCTGCGATTCCATCCACGATTTGACATTTATGCCTCAACTTAAATCCTTCCCACGATGTGATGCCTAGTCTTTTTCTTCTTTCTCCTAGCTCTGCATGCGCATACGTAACTGACATTTTGATCAATTAGTGGCTGTTGCCCTCGAACAGTCGACTCTGGGCTCTTTGAGAGCTATGCAGCACAAAGACCGATATGGACAGATTATCAGTAAGTAGTGAGAGCTTGGACAATCTGATGCTACCTGTCACTGACAGTTCTTGTGATCTAAGCTGATCCCGACCTTTCCAATCCCACTCGTCCTCGATTCGAACGTCCATTAGACACCATCCGAGCTTTTGAAGCTGCTTTCGAAGGAACGTACAGTAGTAGACCTGTTTCCTGGGCGAGAACAGGTGAGTTTGAGTCTTCATCTGTCATATCCATTCAGATTGTTGAGAAGTGTATCTGCAGAATCACCAAACGGTGGAGAACACAACAAACGCGGCAGCTACTATGGAGGTAAATACGCCCTTCTACACTGATCATCTCTAAAGGCAATATGCGATCGCTTTGAACTGTCATTTGTGATCTAGTATGCTAACAAGCATGGTTTCTTGTAGAGTCCAGCCGTGGAAACGGGCACCATCCAAACAGAGGATACAGTGATCAGAGTGGTTACTTCACTCAAAGGGGAACCTATTCGCGACCAGAGAGTTATGTCGATACTTACAACAGCCAGCCTCAAGATAATAGCTACTATCCGTACAACCAGGGCGGCAGCCGCCGACCACGCCCCAACCCGCGCATGTATACCGAGCAGACAGGGTACAGTAACGGCTCGAATGGATACGCACAGCATTCATACCAGAAGTCATACGATAATATCACTGCGGTCTCTGGGTCGGGTGGAAGCCACACTGACGCTTGGGGCAATTCGACCGACCCCAGTTCCGTGAACAGTTCGATCGATCAATTATCGCAGCAGCTACAATTTGGACAGCAAGGGTTCAATTCCCAACCCAATCTCAATGGCTATGCGCCAGCACCTGCAAAGACCCCCGTACATAGCTTCGGCCAAGCACCAGCCTCCGATCCGAACGCCGGTGGCCCCGTGGGCGGCACCCCAGCCGCCGCATCAGCGCCCAACCGTCGTCAACTGCGGAAATCGGTGAACATGTCCGATACAGGGGATAAGCGAAAGAGCTGGTTCAAGCGCAAGTTTGGCAAGGATTGAGGCATAGGTAGTTATCTGGTTTTCTTTCGCTATTCTTCTAACGTATGTAATGATTGTTCTTTGTGGGCGTTTTTCTCGAGTACAGACATGGGAAACCAGGGAAATTGCGGTCTTTGCTTCTTGTTAATGTTAATCCTCCTGATTGTTTTCTTCGAGCTGTCTTACAACTCGCTACGTTTATGCTTGACGATGTCACGATACATGGATGCATGAGGGAATCATCAATTGATTTGCCGTTCTCGTGATTGCCGAATATTTCGAGTACATATTTTGCGCCCTGTTTCTGATTACGTCAAAGGGATCCACAGACAAGATGGGATCAATCCGCCACTGACACATGGTCGGGGCCTTTGGCTCACAGACTTGTTATCAACAGGCGGTGTATGTTGATATCAGAGAGTTCTGCATGTTTATAGGCTTATGCAGGGTGACGATAGACTAATAAGACTGCAGCTGTTTGATCAACAGACATTTACAATTTCACATCCCGAGATCTAATTCCCGATTGTGCATGTCACTTTATCGATTTATTTCTACAGGCTGACAACGAATGATGCTAACAAGACAGTTCCATCCTTGGTAAATATCACAAAGACAAAACCAATGATAGACCTAGCACCTATCAAAAAAGCAGACAGGGAATCATAACAATATCCTAAACACAGTACTGCCATGCCAACAACCTCCCCCCCTCTCCAGGAACCCTAACGTATCATCTAACCCCTCCCAAAAAGCTTATGCTTGAGCTTATCCGCCAACCCCTCGGGATGATGGTGGTGGTTGCGCTTCTTCTCTTCCTTCTCCTTACGGGTTTCCTCGTCCAGGTGGACATTCCCCTGGCCGCCGCGCTGGATAAATCAGGTACGGTTAGTCTACAGCACACCACACCACATCCCCAGAGTGCACATAGAAGTGAGATAAGAAGGGAGAGGAGAATGAACATGACCATGAACATGAACATACACCAACATGAAAGTTCTCATCCGTCGACTTGCGGATCGCCAGCTCGGGGATGATTTCCGCGTCGTGGGGCACCCGCGACGTTGGCCGCACGTTGGGGGAGCCGATGTTGCCGGCTCCGCCGCGCTGTCATGGTCATTCTCTCAGTATCGGTTCACTTGTTCTGCTTGAGGGGCGGGGCTTACGCCGGCCGAGTAGGCGCCGTCGCCTTGGTCGCCGTAGGGTCCTTCGCGGACGATTCCGGCGTCGACGTATCTGCGGTTTGGGTTAGAGGTTTGGGTTAGGTGGATTTTGGGGTGCGGGGGTCGACGTACTGGGTAGGGTCTGCGCCGATGTTGCCCTGGCCTGGTTTGCGATGGGTGTTAGAGGGGGTTTTCGTGGAGGTTATTGTGGACTATGTATGGTATGCGCACCTCCGCGGCCGTGCGAGACGACTGGTTCTTGTTCAACCATGGTGGTGGGTAGTTTTGTTTTGTTGCTTGGATGGGGTTTGGTAGGTATGTACTCTGCAGGAGCGAGTGAGATACTGGGATGAAGTAGTTAGAGGTGTGAATCAGATGATGGTCCTATGGACTTGCCTGATAATAAGCAATATGCTCGGTGGAGGGGCGATGGGTAAATGCGGGATATGAGGAGGGATCGAGGACTGGATATATAAAGATAAGGACCAGAGATGGGGAACCTTTGTCAACGGGTCAGACTACAGAACGGAAAGAATTGCACGATTCAATTTACCCCTGAAGGGATCGCTAGGAAACTAAGGTCATCGTAATATAATAATGATGAACCACTCGTCAAAGCACGCATCCAGCCTCGTGTTCTCGGAAACTGGAGAAAGTCCCTTGGAAGTTGTGACGTCGAGTCGCAGTGGCTTGATAAGATACGCCGGCAGTGTGTTTACTGATTGGTCCGAGCCGTGACTAAAGTGGTTGCTGATAACAGATGTCTTGGCGATGATGATACTATCAGGCTATCAGCCAGACTATCTGAGTGAGCAATGGAAATTATCGTAGTCGAAGAGTACTTGAAGACCAGTCGATGAACAAACTTTATTCAATATTTTAGTGATGACTACCTTTAACATACTGTATGAAAAAGACCGTCCTCCAGATCTCACTGTAATCGATAAAGCACGAAGACATTATCACGATGCCCTACCCTCGATCTTCTAGAAGCCGGAGGGCCTTTGTTCCTGTTTCTTCTCAGCGGGAGGTCCACCGCCGGTGGTTGGAAGACCCATGAAGATCTTGAACGAGTCATAGCTGAAAAAGTCAGTACGTCTGCCATTGTTTCTAGCACTTGAAGGGCGAAACTCACATCATCCATTGCAATCCAGTCTGCACAAAGAGTCGTTAGCTTATGACCGCAAACACGTGCAAAAAGAATACTCACAAGAGTTCCGATCATAACAATTCTGACGGGGAGACCGTTCCAAAGACCCTTGAAGCCAATATCCTTGTAGATACGGCCCATTGCAGCACCAAATGCCTCGCCAGGCAGTCGGTTAGCATTCAGCTTACTCACCATCACATCAGCGGGATGAGACACAACGGCGCAGAGAATACCGGCCAAGTAACCACCAGTGAAGGCAACTGCAGTCTGCGCGCCCTTGCCGTAGTCTGACTTCTTTCCGGGCAGAGACTTGTAGATGGCTTCCACAATGGTCTCGAAAGAGGCGAATTTCATCATGGTGTATGGGATTTGTCGACCCCAGAGCGGATACAAACCTTTATAGAGGCTATGTTGCGATCAGTGGGGAGAGATCCAGGAGGTAGATTCTGAAGCGACATGAACTTACCCAGCCACTCCTTCCTTGCCGACGACTTGAGAAATTCCAGAGAAAGTTCCCTTGAACTCAGGAGGAATAGTCGTCTGCGTGCGCACCTTGACAGCTTCGAATGGGCATAGGGCGACATCAGCAATGAGTTCCGCCGAAGCACTGGCGGCGAGATACAAGGAGGTCTTCCACTTCTGGGCACGCTCCGGTCCCACGAGATCAGAATAGAACTTCTTGAAATACTCATAACCGCCATATTTGAAAGCTCCTTGAGCCTTTGCCCCTTGTCAGTCAGTTCTGATCAAAACCGCGCCATAAACCGTCAGCTTACGCTGTATCCGAAAAATGTCGGACTCCAACCAGTGAACACGCCTCTCATGCCCTCTGCACTACGAATCAGGCGGAACGCCTCCATGTTGCTCTTGTACAGCTGCGAATCAACTTGCCGGCGGCATTTGATCAGATCCAGTGGCGTGACTGCTGTGTGGGTGAGACCCTGTTGATCGGTTAAATGTTGATCGAAACAGACGATATGAGCTCCTGAGACCTACACAAGCCAGCAGACCACCGACGGTACAAGCTGCATAGTACTTGGGAGTCCATGGCTCAATCTTGCCAGTTTTGGCTTGGGCCTTTTGACTGGCGACATCGAATTCTCGAGCCGCCTCTTTAGCAAAAGCATCAGCTTTCTTCTTGGACTCGTCAATCGCACTCCACGCCGGGAAAGGCTCCCGTCTGATCGAACCCGGAGATCCCGCTTGTTTGGGCTGCTCTTTGGGACGGTTCAGAGGGTTCTGGGCGTTGAAGGCCTCGAGAATCACACTGTCAGGGGGAAGCATGGTGGTCAATTTGGAATTGATTCACAGTCAGCTATAACACTGTTGTATTGACGACGTCTGATCGCTCGATCAGATGAGCTGGTTACAACGGATCCTCGACACCAGGTCGTTGTCTCCACTCGTAGGGCTGGTGAGCGGAATAGCCGGTTGGAAGAGTGCAAGTAGATGAGTTTGAATACAAATCTGATTTGAAGAACTTTTCACATCGAAGAAGCACCACGGATAGAGATGACCCCTAGCGGAATTGTTGATGATGAGAAAAGGAGATAAAGAGGAGTCTGACAAGGAGCCGGAAGGACGATGACGTCGGACTCCGGGTACTTTGGCATTCTGATTAACTAAACACCCGTTCTCCGCTCACTCCTGTCACAAATGGCGCTCTTTTTTCCCCTCCGCGCCGATCCCGATCCGTCGAAGTCAGTGGGCCACAGTCGATAAAATTAATCTTGAATCGAGCTCAATTGTTATTACTGCCAATAGAGAGGTATCGCGACGAAGAACACTTTACAAACTTCTTGTGGCTTTGCATTGCAGCAACAGTGCCATTGATTGATGGTCCGAAGTCGTGCCCCTCATCCTAATCCACTCCTCCTGAATCTGTGACACTATCCTCCGAAATGGCCTCTTATATGACTGCCAGCGAGGCATTCACTCGCGAAAAACTTGCCCCAAATGCCGAGGCATCCACAAGTCGGACTGCTTGGGCTGACAAGTATCGAGGGGTTCGTGTTCCCTCTATGACAATCAGAATGCGACGAAAGCACCTCGAAATGACTAACCTCTGTCGTAGGCTACCGTCGAAGATCTAGACCCCCCTCCTGCGCTCTCCGTCTCTCCCAGCGATTCAATTGCCTCCGCTATGCTCGCAGCATATGAGCGCGATTATACCCACCTGACAGTCATCTCATCGAATCGGTCTCTACTCGGATACCTCAGCATCCCGCGACTCAAGGAGTTGCTCAAGCAAGGCACCGTCAAGGAGACGGACACTGTCTCGACTGCCATGCAGCGCTTCAACCGCAAGCGTGGCACATATCAGGTCATCACAATGGAGACGCCATTAGAGGAGTTAGAGCAGTTCTTCGAGAGCGAAGCAGGCCCCAACGGCGAAAAGAGAGAAAAGCAGCAGTTTGCTGTGGTCACTGATGTGTCACGGAAGTTTGTACTTGGGGTTGCAACCAAGGCTGATTTGGAGGAATTCGTCAAGAGAAGACCGGCATAGATACCAACAGTTGTTTACTTGCGTTTCCCTGAACACTACTTCTTGACTTTATCACATACCACGAGTCTTGATCGTGCATTTGCAGGCGTCAGTGGCCATTTGACTTGAGTCTTGGACATATTGTGAGGACGACTAAGTGCCTGCGACAAACATAGTGTGTGGCAATCCTGACATCGCATGCTTGACCATGAAACATGATGGATCAAATGGGGCTATTCATCAAATCCTGGGAACAGAATGCTTCAAAGCTTGTCAATACACAGCATCCACAACATCGTCGGTCGAAATAACAACATATCATGTACACATATAAACCTATCGAGGACGGAATAAAACGACTGAAACTAATTTGCTGGCAAATTTGACCCAATTTACTGCGCCTTTTTCTCTTTCTTCTTTCCTGCTGCTTCCCTCTCTTCTCGATCATCTTGCCATGCCACGTAGATATAGCCGAATAAGACCAGATTCGCAGTGATGGCGGCAGTGATACCAGACACAGTTGAACTCGCTATTCAAGTCAACGTCAATCTCAAATGAAGCGAAATCACTGATCGGATGGAAGAAAGACATACCACCGAAATTTACTGTGACAAAGTACATGCCGATAGGACCAACAACCATGGCAGCTGTGAATCCCAGAAGCTTGTAGATGACATCTCTATCTAAGTATAAGCATGGAGCAATCCATATACTCGGATTGCGGACAGTATAGTGACATGTACTGGGAACTACTTACGCAGGAACTGCAGGGGTAACATCGGAACTGGCTGGTTCCTTTGGCGGCGGTGCGGTAGCTGCCTCTGCGTAGGATTTCTCTTGAGGGCGACGGCTAGTCATTGTGGGTGGAATCAAGGGAGAAAACTCCTATTGTCTTGCTGATGTAACTGTGGTGTCGAAAGACGAAGGAAGAGGTTCAATATGCAATTGTCGATAAGTAGAGAATGGTGTCCAACGGATGAAGGGGAGTTTCAGATAAGCTTGATGAGTCGCTCTCGATCAAGAATAATCTAGATAAAAGGTTGAGCTATGGAGAACTTGATATGCATCTACTCTTGAAAGTGTTACTTCATAGTAGCTTAGCTTAAGCTAGGTACTGGCCTATGGTACAGGTATGGAGCTCTGAAACGGAAAAGCCATTCCTCAGCGGCATGTGATTGGTCAGTCATATTCAATGGTACCGTAGGTGTGAACACTGGCGACTGATTTCAGGGTAGATGAATACAGTGATATGATCAAATAAATGTTGCCGTCTGACAATGGGAATAATATAAAGTATTTGCCCATAGACTGATGCTGATTATCTACAGGGCTATGTGTTGTCGTTTCCCAGTTGGTCTTAATTGAGGCGCCAGTTCACGTGACCCAGGCGCGTCCGCCGCGTTTGTTGGAGGAAAAAAAGACGGTGATGGAATGAATTCTGGAGAAGCTGGCGAGCTCTCTTTTGGCGCTCCGTTGGGGTTTTGCTCCTGTTCCATTGCTGTCCCATTTGTTCATCCTTTACTCGGTCTTTATTGCTTAATAGCCTGTTGTCGATTGAATCATGGACGATTCCGTCCCTGATACCCCCGTGAGCGATAGGAAGATTGTCCATAGTACTCCTCCGACCGCCGTCAAGGATGATGCTGAATATGAGACTATCGCCACTCTTCCGCTGCCCGCTCAACCCTTCCAATCACTTGCGACACAATCGTTGACCCCTGCTTCCCAGCGACTCACTCAACCAACACAAATCATTGAAGTCCCTCATTCAGTCAAAAGTAACGTCCAAGTTGCCGCTTCTTCTCCCCTAGGTCCGGCGTCCTCGCCGTCCCGTCCTGCCTCGCTGGGAGGTCGCCTTTCCAATTCGATGGCACCTCCTGGAACACGATTCTGCCCTCCTGCCTCTGCCGGACCTGCGAAACGTACTCCTCTCATAGATCTCGACGACGACGGTCCAACATACGTTGGTGGATCTTCCGACGAAGACACCCAGTTGAAAAGAAGCACGGATATCAAACCATCTATGTTTACCAAGTCTTCGCGAAGTCCCGAAAAAGTTATGGATTCCCCGGTGAGCGCCAATTCTTCGTCTTTTGATCGGTTCAAGGAGATCACCTCCTCCGCGATCTACAACCCTAGCGTCAAACGCCCTGCTTCTCAAATGGACCCGACTCCCAAAGGAATCCCCATCAAAAAGTCCAGGCAGAGTGGCCCTTCCCGCGCTCAGCCAGTGGAGGTGACCGTTATGTCATTGCAAGATATTCAGGACTACCAGATGCGGGTCAAAGTGGAGAGAATGTTGAAAGTGATGCCGCAGAAGTCGGTCCAAGCTTGCATGCAAGCTCTTGTGTTCAAGCGTGGCAATTATGAGGATGCATTGGATCATCTGGCAAATACAGAGGAACAAGATGCACCTGGTTCATCTGACGATGAATTGACTACAGCTCAACAAGCCGAACAAATCGCACCAGCGAAGCAAAACATTAAAGCCCGAGGGACAATCCAGGATAAGTGGTCGGCCATGAACCTGCAGAAGAACTTGGCAAGCCAGAGGGCCCAATCGCAGTCACAACCACAATCGCTGGACGAAGAAGAAGCGAAGCCACGGAGACGCTTGATGAGAGGACCAAAGAATCGTGTCGTTTCCCCAAGTCCTTCTCGTTCCGAAACTCCTCCCAAGAAAAAGCCCGGGCGATTGGTACAGGGACGGAAACAGCCTTCGCCCGCACGTTCGGAATCACCTGAAGCACCTCTGATCATAACTGATGACTCTGATTCTGGTGTTGACGATATATTGGAAAATGGGGAATCGGAAATCAAGGTTTTAAGGTTCATCAACACGTGCCAAGCTGTAGAGCTTGCAGATCTGGCCGCAACGACGGAGGATGTTGCCCAAGTCATAATCTCCCACCGTCCATTCCGGTCCCTAGATGAGGCCCGCGCTGTACCCGCCCCATCAACGGAGCAAAGCTCAAAGCCAAAGGGCGCCAGGGGACGGAAGACACCAAAGCCAATTGGTGACAAAATCGTGGACAAATGTCTCGATATGTGGGTGGGTTATGAAGCGGTGGATTCATTAGTCGCCAAATGTGAAGCCCTTGGACGGCCGGTTGCAGCAGAAATGAAGAAATGGGGCGTTGATATCTTTGGAAAGCGGGACGGTGAATTGGAGCTCGTATCAATTGACCGAGAGTCGCACGATTCTGGCATCGGGACACCTGCTAGCCAGCGTACCGACGAGGATAGCGATAGTCCTGCGTCCGGTTCACGCAAGACTCGTTTCATTCCTCAACCCAGGATCATGAGTGACGATCTGAAGATGAAAGATTATCAAATTGTGGGGATTAATTGGTTGTCATTGCTGTTTGAGAAGCAATTGAGCTGTATTCTGGCCGATGACATGGGACTTGGAAAGACATGCCAGGTCATTGCCTTTTTGGCGCACCTGTATGAAAAGGGCATAAAGGGACCGCACTTGGTGGTTGTGCCTTCGTCAACAATCGAGAACTGGCTTCGGGAGTTTCAGAAATTCTGCCCGACATTGTCTGTCATGCCATACTATGCAGGGCAAGCAGAACGCGCCTTGATCCGCCAGACTATCGAAGATAACCGCGATGACATCAATGTCATTATCACCACCTACACTGTCGCAAAGGCCAAGATTGACGCCCATTTCTTGCGTAACATGGACTTCTGTGTTTGTGTCTATGATGAAGGACATATGCTCAAGAGCAGTACATCAGTCTTGTATGAGAAGCTGATACGGATTCCGGCCCGTTTTCGACTTCTCTTGACCGGTACGCCGTTGCAGAACAATCTCCAAGAACTGGCCTCACTACTGGGCTTCATCCTTCCAAAGGTCTTTCAAGAGCGCAAGGAAGACCTTCAGTATATCTTTGCAAACAAGGCAAAGACAGTGGATGAGTCGCACTCCACACTTCTCTCGGCGCAGCGCATTGAACGGGCCAAATCCATGCTCAAACCGTTTGTACTGAGGCGAAAGAAGCATCAGGTCATCGATCTGCCTCGGAAGATCTCTCACGTTGAGTATTGCGAGCTGAATAGCGCTCAGAAGGAGATCTATGAACATGAAAAGGAAGAAGTTCGTCAGCTCCTGGCTGACCGCGCCGCTGGAAAGAAGACTGGCAACAGGTCCGCCAACATTCTGATGAAACTTCGACAGGCGGCTATACATCCTCTGTTATACCGGCGTCACTACACCGATACCATCCTCAGTCGTATGGCCAAGGCCTGCTTGAAGGAGCAGCAATGGTCTCAATCCAACCCAGACATCATCTTCGAAGAGCTGCAAGCGTACAATGATTTTGAATGTCATCAGTTGTGCGTCAATCACCCTCATTCCCTCGGAAAGTTTGCTCTCAAAAACGAGGAGTGGATGAACTCCGGGAAAGTTGACAAGCTTTGCGAGTTACTCAAACGGTTTCAAGAGAACGGGGATCGAACACTGGTGTTCTCCCAGTTCACTCTGGTTATGGATATCCTCGAGCATATCCTTGAGACTCTCCATCTGGGTTTCGTCCGATTGGATGGTCGGACGAATGTAGAGGATCGTCAGTCCATTCTCGACGCTTTCCATGAGCGAACCGACATTCCTGTATTTCTGCTTTCGACAAAGGCCGGTGGAGCGGGAATCAATCTGGCCTGTGCGAACAAAGTCGTCATCTTCGATTCCAGCTTCAACCCACAGGAAGATGTGCAAGCGGAGAACCGAGCACATCGTGTTGGGCAGACCAGGGAGGTAGAAGTCATCCGTCTTGTCACCAAGGACACGATCGAAGAGCAGATCTACGCTCTTGGTCAAACCAAGTTGGCTCTCGACCAGGCCGTTGCAGGCGACGAAACCGAGAGCAAGAAGGGTGAAGAAGCTGGAATGAAGGTCGTGGAGGATATGCTTCTTGCAAAGCAAGAGGAGGCGAAGCCTGATGGCACGGACGCCTGATCCTCTTTCAGTCCTAGAGTCGTCGGTTACAGTTGAGCTGAATTATTCATCTTCTTCGACTTAGATTTCTGTCTAGAACGCGTTTTCCTGCTGCAAGCGAGTCGTTCGTCTGCATATCATCATGTTATCGGATTGTCAAGGGACACACGTGCATTCTACTGTTCTCGGATCTGGTAGGGTTCAAGGGTTCCCGCCATTGGTCTTTCTTTTATGGGGTTCTATAGCATCCATAGCATTCACCAACGCCTGTAGCGGTTGGTGATATTTTTAGAGCACTAGGAGCATTATCGGGTTTAGCCAGAGGTCGTTGATCCTCTATATCTTTAATAGAGCACTTGCTTGCCTTGCTGTAGCACAAGTCCCTCCCCAGCGCGAAGATTGAAATGTCCTGTGGCTGGTCATGCGGCGGTACGTAAGCCACAGGGCCTCAATACGCTTTGAACTATATAAGTAGGTATGTGGTAGGACCCCGGACGCGCCCTACTACAGCCAAGTCGATCCGTATTGGCTCTTTCTGCTCCTGGACACCATCATTTAATGGTAGACAGAACCTAGCGACGCATTGCCAACGTTCCGCTCCTGCACGACAATATTCAAACCCTTGACACGGGCATTAGCACCCCCAGAACGGGAAATCAAAGCAGGCCCTGATCAAGAATGCCATTGCGGCGGTGGAAGGTACTCATGGGAATTCACACACTCTCGATATCCAGACAAGTACATTGCCGTCTCGAGGATCGACTCCCCAAGTCCCATGATGCTGGCGGAAGGTTTATTGCTGTCGGTAGGCGAAGTGGGAGTGTGTCTCTGAAAAATACCACCGTGGCCACAGGTATTCAATATGGGAGAGACAGCACCGTTGCCTGACACAAGGCTATCCGGCAGAGGGACATTTAAACTAGTGCAACAGTTGAACCAAGACAAATATATTCACGAACCAAAATATGGGAATCTATAAACAGTTTCTAAGGACAAACTCCGGACAAAGAAAACCCAGTAAAGGTCATCCATACATACACCATAACATGCAGAATTAGAGCCAAGCTATGCAGTGCGATCGAAAAACAGGAAGAAAGACGAGTGAGGATGGGAAGTCCTCGTACGCGACTAGAGGTGGAGGATGAGCGTTATATTCATGCAGCAAGCTCCTGCTTTTGAGTCACCTCTGTAGCTGGGACAGTGATATCAATAGGGTGATCTTCCGGCTTCGGCTTGACGGGGGCCGGGATGGAGTTGGTGCGAATGGGGCCTCCTCCGCTCACAGCTGGTGAGGCTGCTTTGGGCCTGGGCGCACCGCTTGCCGCACGGGCGGTCTCGTTGTTCTCGAGGGCGTTTTTGACGGCGATATCGCGAGCAGTGTCCTCCGTTTCGTTCTTCTTGTAGACGGACTTGTCGGTGAGATTGAGGATCTCGTCCACTTGGGCGGCAGCCGGGAGCAGGTCATCGAATTTGAGGAAGTGGCAGTAGTCGGAGTAGGACTTTGCGGTCTTTGCATCTTTGAATTCCCTATTTTTCCCGGGGATGAGGATGTTCAGAAGGAATTTGGTGTTGCCGAAGCGGTTCTCGCACTCGATACAGGCTTGTAGATAGTCGTGGACGACCTCCCTCCAGGGGAGTAAACCACCCTCTGCTTCGGAGCGGAAACATGATGGGTTTGCCTCGGCTGCTGTCGCAATCATGGCTCCGTCCACACCGAACTCCTTCATAAGCGCAAGCGCTTCGTCCCGAGAGGTGACATCGCCGTTCATGACGCATGCAACACCAGCATCGCGACAGATAGAAGCAATCATCGACAACTGGTCGCGGATGGCGCGTTCACGAGGCCGCATTGGTGTCGTGCGGCAATGGACAGTCAAGCCTGTGATACCTGTCGCAACGAGTCTCTTGACGAGGCTTTCGGTCTTCTCCGGTGTCTCCAGGATACGGATTTTAACCGAGATGCCGATCTGATAGGGATTTCCGACTTCCCGAACGAGCGATTCAAGGATAGAGACGAGCTTGTCGGGAGTCCGTAGGAGTGCTGCTCCCATTCCACCACTCGTACTGAAAGGTTTGGGACATCCGGAGTTTAAATCGATCCCGGCAACGTCACCTGCGACCAATTTGGCTGCTTCTACGGCCAGCTCCGGCGATGCAGAACCAATCTGAAACACCAATTTTCCCTTCTCCCGCACGGGGTCAATCCGATATAGAATGGACTCCTGAGCAGGTTTGTCTGCACGTCCACCGTTCGAGGGGAATCTGATATACTCGATGCATCCGTTGCGAGGGTTCACTCGGCGGGTGGCTCCGATGAGCGATCGGTCTATCGTTTCAGGGCCCCAAACAAGATCCGCACCGTATTTGAGAGCGAGAAGACGTGAAGGCAGCTCTCCCGAACGTACCATCGGTGCCAGGACTACTTTGCCACGGTAGTCGACACCATTGGCGGGGATAGGAACGCGAGGGGTCTTGAGCGAAGTCATTGCGGATCGGAGGAATCTTAGCATAGCATTATTGACTTTCTGAGACACTAGAAATGCAGTGAAATGAAGAAACGTAGCGTATGAGACAAAATTGTTCTGTAGAAGTGTAAATTGACGACTATAAAATGGATGGCGATGGACATGGAAAAAGCGGAGACGAAAAAGTGAAAGTCACGTGAAGATAACCTGATAAGGCTTTATCAATTTCCATGTCTGTCAGTACTTCGGAGTACTCCGTTCGTCAGACGGATCGATTGGAGAAATCCTTCAACGGATGGAGCAAAGATATGTCGATATTCTGTCATTTTGAGGATTGATCATATTTGTTTTTTCTCTCTCGGTCAGACGAGGTAATCACTGTGCTTCCGGTGTAGCTTCCCGCACGCCTGAGCAGCACATAGTACTCAATACTACACAGTACGTAGAGTGAACCAAGGTATCATCATAATATGGCGGAGTAAGAGGCCAGGTGAAAATAAGGTTATTCAGGTTAGGCCCCGCGATCCCTGCAAGGTGAATTGGCTCCAAGTATGGACCTGAACAGTGAATTCATTGTTCTTCTCATATAATGATTGGCCTTGTGAGCTTGTTGTTGTTCAGAAATACCAGGGGTATGGGTCTCCAAATAACTGCAGACCTCGAGTATATCTGGAAGCACCCTACGGAGTACCCTGAGGCATTGGCCGCCATCTATCTAGATATCACCATTACCTCAAACAATGACAGACTAGTATCACAACAGCGGAATAGCACTAAAAATAAATTGCGGAGCAGTGCTGTTTATTCTGTCCCATGCACCGAGGATCTTCTGTCGTGCCGACTACCTCTGGTAGCTTCCGGCCAATACGCCGTGGTGGATGGTCATGTTCGAGAACTGTTTCCTACTTCGATTGCAAAAAGCAAATTGACAACAATTAGCAGCAAGAAGAGAAGGTCAATAATCGATCTAAAGACAGAGAGGGAAATGTCTTTGTACCTAGGTATCTTTCATTGCGGTCAGTGGCCCTATAGATGGGCCTCGGACACCTGAGGCCAGAATTCCCGACGCCGATTTTCCATCCCGACAATTTCCAGCAGCTTTTTGTCTTTGATCCCCTTTGCTGGAACAGCTGCTATAAACGGAGTAGAGCCGATTGAAGGTCACGATCACAAGCTTAAAAATCAATCTAGATCTGTCAATTGAGGAACTCTGCCCGAATTCCTTTCTCTTTTATATACAATCAATGTCCCCGGTGCCTTTGCGCAGCAGAGCACTACTGCCCCTGCCTCCATTGCTCCGATTGTCCACCGCCTCACCGGCCCTCGCCCGCTCTCGTTCGCCCATTCCACGCACATCAGCAACGCTGGCTCCCCCCACTAAACAAGCCCCTCCTCCCTCCTCCCTCTCCTCCTCCTCCTCCTCCTTCTCTTCTTCCTCCCCTCAACAAGCAAATTTGTCTTCGTCATCATCGTCAAGAGTTCGTTCGTCGGTCAGCTCCGCGTCAACTCGTGCTGCTCTTCTCTCTAGACATTTTTCTTCCTATACCCCGCCGCAATCGCCCAACATGTCTTACACCGTTCGCAAGATCGGCCAGGCCAACACCCTGGAACACCGTGTCTACATTGAGAAGGATGGCGTCCCAGTTTCTCCCTTCCACGACATTCCCCTCTACGCCAACCCTGAGCAGACCATCCTCAACATGGTTGTTGAGATTCCCCGCTGGACCAACGCCAAGCAGGAGGTACGCAATCCGGATCCGCGAAACACTTGGCGGTCGCTATTTCTGGTTACGGAGCATTCACTGATTCGGCTTGGATATCTAGATCTCTAAGGAGGAGTTCCTGAACCCCATTAAGCAGGATGTCAAGAAGGGCAAGCTCCGTTTCGTCCGTAACTGCTTTCCCCACAAGGGTTACCTGTGGAACTACGGTGCCTTCCCCCAGGTAAGCCAAGTCCATGGACATGAAATCTACATGCCCGGGCCAATCAATGCTAATCTGAGACCTTTCTATGGGTTAGACCTGGGAAGACCCCAATGTTGTTCACCCCGAGACCAAGGCCAAGGGTGACAACGACCCGCTCGATGTCTGCGAGATCGGTGAGCTTGTTGGCTACCCCGGTCAGGTCAAGCAGGTCAAGGTGCTTGGTGTGATGGCTCTGCTCGACGAGGAGGAGACCGACTGGAAGGTCATTGTCATCGATATCAACGACCCTCTTGCCCCTAAGCTCAACGACATTGAGGATGTTGAGCGTCACCTTCCTGGCCTTCTCCGTGCTACCAACGAATGGTTCCGTATCTACAAGATCCCCGATGGAAAGCCCGAGAACCAGTTTGCCTTCTCTGGCGAGTGCAAGAACAAGAAGTGGGTTCCTTCTCACCCCCCTCTGATATCATCTCCCCGTAGCTAATATTTTACTTTTCTAGGTACGCTCTCGATGTTATCCGCGAGTGCGCTGATGCTTGGGAGAAGCTCATCACCGGCAAGAGCCCTCGTGGCGATATCAGCCTGTAAGTACATCATTGATCGTGATTATACAAATGAGGCACTGATTTAACTGACTTTGACAGTGCCAACACTGCTGTTGAGAACTCCCCTGACCGTGCCGACCCCGCCCAGCTTGCCAGCATCCCTAAGGGCGATAACCTGCCTCCTGCCCCCATTGAAGGCACCATTGACAAGTGGTTCTTCATCTCTGGTGCTGCTGTTTAAATCTATATTAAACAAAAGTTCTGGAAATTCAAAATTATTTATGTTCGCCTTGCGGGCGAATACTTAGTACTTTGGATATTCCCGCATTTACCACATATTTAGTAGAAAAATGTTAGGACTGTTTCGTAGAATCTGTCAATTCTAATGAAAATAATGCAAGTAGCATGGGGAATGCTCTTTCACTGAAACCGACGCCTTGCTCTCAAGGCTCATAAAATAAACAAGTCTGGCGGGCTAAAAGGCAGAAATATCTTGTTCAATGCTGATATATATACAAATCTCGTCATCTAAAGTTATGGCTCGTCAACGTCTTTTCCAAAACTCACACACAACAATCATTGCTCGTCCTTCCCCTTCTATGATAGAAAAGCACAATGAGAAAACTCGAACCCGATCTCCTCGGCGCCGTAGCGTGAAACCCGCAATGATACCTAAAAAAACACGAAGAACAATGTACAGGCCCGAAAATCAACCCTTGAGGGACTGCTCTCGCTCGATACTCCGTCCCACACGCGCAAGTTCTTCGATCACATCACCAATCTTCATTTGGTTCTTGCCCACCTCGATCTTGACCTCCTTGCCTCCTCTGAACCCTACTGTCATCTCGGGGAGCTGTGTCGAATGGCGCGGCAGCTGGGTGACTTGGATATCGATATGTGTCGGACTCGAGGCGGGTGTGGTGGAAGGGTTGCGGAGGAGAGAGAGGAGCAAGCGGCAGGGACGAGCGGACCGGGAGAAGGGGTTGAAGGTTGCCCGGAAGGAGGTGATTGTGTGCAGGGGGATGGTCATTTTGGTGGGGTCTCCTTTTGATGTACGCTCAGATAGGCGGATGCAATGGTCAATTGGAGATTTCGCTGCTCGAGGAGTTAGTTTAGAGCGCAGGGGAGTGAGTGGTTTATTGAAGCTGATAAGACAAACATACGAGATCTTATGGTTACCGCGAGTCGGATGCACGGTTAAGTTAGCTTTCCGCGCTTGATCCGGTCAATCGAGTGAGTCCGTTTTGATTTCTGGGAAGAACAGCGTTAGGTGCAGTCAGATTCTTGGACTCGAGAATGGTGGCTCTGAGATCCAGAAATCAATTGTATAGCGATGGGCTGTTCGGCTGTTCCTGATCTAGAAAATTACCTCGCAGTCGGCGGCCGGAGAGATATGTTTGTTAAAGATGCAAACACTTTCTGGCCTCAGGAACCGATGACGCTGCGGATTGTGGACACGGATGGTTCTCCGCAAAGCAATTGTACTGGACAGAAGGGAGTCGACCTTCTCAAATCGAAGTTCGAAGAACAACAGCTTTGAATCGTCATGATGCATTTGTGAACACTCACATTCAATATCTCGGACATATCCCACGAGCTGCGCACATAACACCGAACAATCTTAATCTATACTAAATACACTCTGCCACAATGTCTTCAACAGCTGCTCTCCAAGCTCGCCTCAAAGAGCTCACTACAGTTCTGGCTCAGATACACCCGCTTATCGAGCGCCTAAGGAATTTCACAATGGCTATTGGTCAAGGTGACCAGGCCCGCCTAGAATTAGGGCAGGAAATACATGGCTCACTGAAAGAGGCGGAAGAGCAGATGGAGATTCTGAAGGTTGAGGTTGACGCTCTTGAGACTGGCAATGAAGGTGGACGGAAAGGTGTGGACAATGTAAAAGAGCTGGAAAAAGAGCGGATCATTGCGTTGGCGGGGAGGCTGGTCGATGAGATCAAGAGGTGAACTGCCTCTCCCGCCTACATCTACCCTGCTAACTTACTGGCCTAGGACGAGGGTGGAATTTCGCAATGCTCAGCTCCAGGCGAAACGAAACGCGGAGACTGCAAAACGCAAGGAGAGAGAGCTACTGTTTTCGAGGTCACAGAGTGCTGAGCGCCGAAGTCAATCTACCGAGAAGCTGTCGCATGATGATATTGTCAAGAACGCCTCAAGCGATGTTACCGCAGCATTGCGCAGGACGCACCAGCTGATGCAGGCGGAACTATCTCGAAGTCAATTCGCCCACCAAACTCTAGGTTCGTTCTTCTTGTATTGGGTGACGGTCTTCAATCTGCTAAGCCTATAAACACAGAGCAATCTACAGCTGCCTTATCCTCCTTGTCGGAGTCTTACACCGATCTCGACTCTCTCCTCTCATCCTCCCGCAACCTCATCGGTTCTCTCATCCGATCTCAAAAGTCCGACACTTGGTACCTGGAAACAGCATTCTATATTCTTGTTGGAACAATATCTTGGCTCATATTCCGTCGCATATTATATGGACCACTCTGGTGGCTTGTGTGGCTGCCAATTAAATTGTTAACCAGGTTCGCGTTCGCTATCCTTGGAACAGTCGGAATCACTAGCACGGCCGTTCAATCATATTCTTCAGCGTCACTCAGCCAAAGCATGCCTCAGGAAGCACCAACATTGGGAGAAACAGCCGCCATGCCTAGTGCTTCCATCAGCGCTACTTGGGATCAAGCTCAGGTCTCTGAAGAGCAACCAGAAACTGATCGCATGATTGATCAGATTGGCGATATGGTAGAAAAGAATAGCAGATTGGAGGAAGAAACCAGCATCGACGACGTGTCGCCAGAAGAGAGGCAACGGCAAGAAGAGATTCCGCGAAATCCAAAGAAACGCATGTACGAAGCTACGGAAGTCGAGCAAAATCGGAGAGATGAATTATAGAGGTAGATGGATCTATTCCAATGCAGACCATGTTTGCGAAATTTGCTGCATCACTTATGAGATACGAATAAAAAGATTATCTTCGGAGAGGTTTTGGTAATACTGACTGGTTGGAGCAATCCAGAAGGGGGGGAAAAAAGAAAAGAAAATCTGACAAGAGTGGGATTCGAACCCACGCCATCATACGATGATGAGGAAACTCTTGGAGCTTGGTATTAAGGTGGACCTTAACCTCACGCCTTAGACCAACTCGGCCATCTTGCCTGTGATGACCACTTTGGCTTATTTAGTTACATAAACCAGTCTTGAGAGTTGCTAATCGGCAATGATCTACTTTATATGATTTGACGTCACATGACAAGCAGGTGAGGATAGCCGTTACCTGAGAGAATCGGGAAGCGCCAAGTGTCCAATTAGGATGGCTCAGGGGCCAACTATATATAGGCTGACTAAGTCGGGACGCTAAACCTAAACGGGATGGAATCCTGACACCCCCCCTCGGACCGACT